TCTATACTGGCCAGAGCTAAGAGCTTTAGAGTACGACGATAACGCTCAAATTCATCATCAGGAACATTTTTAGCGCGTATCAGAACTACCGTATGTAGAAAGCGAAAAATGAACGGAAATACCCGCGATATGCCAATTACTTAGCTGTTTCTAGATATGGTGCTGGGAATACTATGAACCCCTCAAGCGGTGTGTATTACACGGCCTAGAGACGTTTCGTCGCTACTGTCTAAAGCTAATGAGGCGCACGAATAGCCTTATTTTCAAAATAATCAATAAAAACCGCTACCATTTCTATCTGGTCAAATGCCTCATTTTGTTGATACTAGTCAAAAGTACCATACATCCTATTTTAACAGTGTGTACGCACAATGGATGCAAAAAACTAAATCGTCATATTAGGGGTGCGCGTATAATACTGCCAGTAGATGGGCCTGCCATTGTCAAAAAAAATTGCTTCATGCCAACGCGTACATCCGACACACATTCTATAAATCGATTCTGTGAATATTTGACGACAAAAGTAAAATTCTTGTTGAAACAAAGCGGAATTGATAATAAGTGATAAGAAAAGCGTAATTGAATGCGAAAAAAACATCTGCAACACCGAAAGAAACACAGTCTAATGTTATTTCCTTTAACACTGTTTGAAGACGTTCAGTAATAACTAAAATGACATTTAAGAATTCTAATATTTCCCAAGTAACGTTTTCGCGCCTATAATATCGTTATCTCCGTTGCAACGTCAACCATTTTCGGTTCTATCTGTAATATATTTTGTTATTTCATAACCGATACTTAAATGGTCACGTTAGACATTCGGGTGGGTCTCTTTCTGCGGGTGTGTATGGGTTTGCGTGCCACGATGGTCTACCAACGAGCTGCTTGTTGCAAATAAAACTGGGTTCGTTCTTCGCCCACCGATGCATCCACAGCTACTATTTACCAGCAGCAGCGCCAAACGTCTTAATGGTCTGCAGTTGCTGACCGAATTGGCCATACGCCTTGCCCCTTTCATCCTATTTATATGTTAGTCTGGTTCTCAGCGCGGCTTTCTTCGGAAACGAACGTACACTCTACTAAGCAGTTGTTTTAAGCAGCCCGGTTAAGTTGCGAGCCATAATTCAGTACTTTGATTGACCTAAATTATTAAAACGCATTAACATATAGTTGGAAATAGCCTATTTATCCAAATGTGAGTACGTAAGGCTTACTGTTGAAGGTGTATCTGATCACAGAAAGTGCAATACAATTACACTTTTCTTAATACGGCTTGTTAGCGTTTTTTACCACCATACGCTCCTCTCTATTGCCTCTAGCATATATGAGTGAAGCCAGGGGTTTAACGGGCGATAACGTTATTTGCTATTTCGTTTGCTCATTGTCTTCTACGCTCTCTTCATTGGTATCGATCTTCGTATTTGCGGTCTGTACTTATTGCTACTGTCGTTTTTTTTGTTGACGACATAACAACAACAATAGCGACAGCGCTACCAAGCTGAGTCGTGGCTGCAGCGATCCGCACAGATGTAGGAAAACGTACGGACAGGCAAACGGTAAGGCAATTACATAGACAGGCAGGTAGCTACATATTATCCGGACACCTACAGGTCTCTTTCCAGCCGGAAATTTGTCACTCGCAGAGCAAGCAAGTATTAACGCTTGGCAACCATTGTCAAGCTCAGCAAAACTAAGTGTATTAGCAGTAATAAACACTGTCACACGTAAACGGACATTATTCTTAACGATCCATACTGCTATCAATTGCTGACGTAGGCCATCGTTTCGCTGACATCGTTTCGATGACAGTTCATGTAGGACGACAACTACCGATAGCAAACCGTAAACGTCAACGATGACGAAAATGATAGGAGCAACTGGTTGCCGGCAGCTGCTCCTTCGAACTCGTCCTGACCGTTGTGATGCTTGTTCTATGAGGCAATATCGTACTGTGATGTGATCATGATAACAAGAACTGCGCGGATGGCTTAACATATTATCCCGTTTCAAGGCTAAGAGCTAATTTTAGTCTATTAAGGCCAAAATGTCTTAATTAATGCTTAACACTGGAAATCATTAGTTCGACCTGATGAAAAATATAAAGAGACCATTTTTAGATAAATCAGCTCATTCCTGTCTCGTAAGTTTTATCGAAACAGTCGCAAACACAATTCTATTATATTGACGATGATTCTGTGAGTTGGCGACAATGCAATGGCTTCGGGTAGAGATTATCAAATATTCAGAGAGGCCCTTCACCGAGTGCGGTGATGTTGCTACATGGATATAAGATGTCCACTGAAATACCGCGCGATATAAGCAGTGTACGTGCTGGCTTGGCCGTCCAAAACTGTTATTGATATGTACCGGGCGTTGTTGCTTTAAATCCCGCTAGCAGTACCCATACAGCTTATAAAAACGAAAAATGTATGCATAGCTCCACGTTGGTACATTTACATTGGATAAACTATGCATAAAATCACTGAGAAAGTGGAAATATTTACTGAGGTAATGCTGAAGTTCCGGTTCATTTGTTAGTCATGTGAATCATGTTTGTCGTCATTGTTCAGTTAAAGTGTTAGCGGTTTTATTTTAGTCTGTAGTAAAAATCCGTTGTTATGTGTCTACGATCGGTTAAAACCAGTGGCCAATTTGCATCGTTTAACGCAGATTCAGCCAAACAGATGGAGGAGGGACTAGATACGTAGCATAAAGAGATACGCGTCACCATTTAACCGCTCTGTCTTGCTCGCTTTCCCTATAAACCGGAGAATGATTCATTCATTCGCTGAGTGGATGGATGCACAGACGGCTACATCGGGAACTGTCGGCATAACATCGACACCGGCGGGAACAGAAACCGTCAGGGTTTCGCTCTCCGGCGATGGCCCTAGTGACCACCGTGATCCTAGTGATGATGACGGTGGTTCCCGAACACGTAGGACACGATGATAGCGAGAAATACGGAGGAGGCGGTGAAGAGCTAGTGGTGGTTCTGCATAGGAAACTGCAATATTATACTATTTCGGCCACTAGAATTCGATAAGATTCAACAGGAAGACGATAAGCGCTGCTTCATAACGGCCGTTATAGCAGCAACAACTGTACCGTTACGGCAAAGTGGACACACTAATTTTATCGGATTAGTATTCCGCTGCGAATCTGTATACCGTTGGAAACAAGCTTGCCCTCTTATTGTTATTGTCGCTACTGCTCCAATCGGTGCTCAACGGCAGGCTGCCAGCAGCGGCCGATACACGCTGATGGGATCTTCTCCAGATCTTACAGTGAGAAGGAAGAATGTGTACCACCATACTATAGGATTTACTACTTATTCCGTGGTTGGGTTCGTCGCACAGTTCATATGAGCAAGCAGACCCCATCGTCATTCCTGTTGTTGCGCTAAAGTAGTCGTATTACTGCTTCTGCACTAAATAATGATACTGGATGGTAAACCAATTGATAATAGTTTACGTTTATTGTTTTGCTAGGGCCAGCAGGGTGAAGTAGCTGGCTGTCTTCCTTCACCCAATTGTCATCCACAAGCGACACTGATATTGAGAAGCGAATCAGTAACAATAACAATGATGATAATATTGCCATTGTTGTTCTCGCTAACACTGTCGTTCTGCGATTCCGGCTACGTCATGTTTATTTTCGCCGATAGCGACGGCAGCTACTAGTCAGGTCCACTTCGTTTACTATTTTTGGTTCTCTTTGAACCGCACTTAATACATATTTAGCCCATATAGTGATTGGCCGCGATTTGCTGACAAGCACTTCTCGGCAGGCTTCTAATTATATATATATAAACACTGCTAAAACTACACACACATATATAAGTGTGTGTATAGTTTTAGCAGTGTTTATATATATATATACTGCTAAAACTACACACACATATATAAGTGTGTGTATAGTTTTAGCGGTTTTCTTACGTGACGCACCCTAGCAGCAGAACACGGGTAGTACCACCAAGGGGCTGGCGACACTATTATCCCTACCACGAGTAGGCTGATTGGCGATAATAATAACGATGGCTAAAATAGTTCAGGGCCGTGGGCAGCGACAATAAGGAATCTCTCCCCCCCCCCCGGCCCCCTGCTTTCCAGCTTTGCCGACAGACGATATAAAACACACAGAGAAAAACAGACAGAGACTTTAGAAAGTGATTAGTTCAGGCAGGTCTTGGTAAATTTATTAGGGTTTTCTCGATCAGATTTGTGAAGCGGTATGGTTACAGCATGTTATAGCGACCATTTACCAATTCTGGATTTTGAACCAGCGCTAGCCGCATGTTATGATGGCATTTCAACCATCCAAATCGCGCCGTCCCTATAACCGAATGAATTCACAACGTCCATTAGATCTCAGAAGAGTCGCAATGAGATTTCGTAGGCCTACAATCAAGCAAACGTTTTTGTTTAGCAAAGGGTAACGCCAATACAGCACGCTGGTGAAATAACAGCAAAAAAAGAGTCAGGGTAATTCTTAGTTTTACGTTAGAAGGCGTGTAGAATAATATTAGACGGTAAAACGAGCGCGAGGCAGAGTCAAGAGGTCCTAATATGTGGTTGTACATTCGCTTTCATAAGGACACTTAGAAGTAGTGAAAGAAAATTTTAGAAATTAGACCTACATAAATTCTAATGGAGCGAGTCGACCTTCGAGTTACGGTCAGGTCTACTTGACGCCTTTTAATAATAACGCATTATCCAGTAGTGCCAGGTGTTAGCAAGTCAAACATTTAGTACCTGCAAGCGTTTTATAGTATAAAACCATAGAAAATATCGACAAACGATATATTTTAATCCGTACTGGATTTGACTATTATTTTTTGGTTATCTCTCCTGAGGACACCAACATAATCTCTCAGTTTTTACTAATTGCAGGCTATATCATAGGGTGCCAATGATCAGTTGCCTCTCTGAGTATTCAAGCAAAGTACTGTTCAAACTATTTGGCTAAAGCTTAATTCATTTTGGATTTACTGATTTTAGGTGAATGTACACTTCTTACGCTGTCGTACCAAAGCTATCAAGCGGCGATGATGATGCGCTCGTCGGTGCCACATGCATTGTGTGACACAAACAGTGGCAATCAAATAATGGGTACGCATGTGCCCAGAGTACGAAGCAAGACTTAACTGTAGCACTAGAATAAACAAAAGAGAACAGCGTACAATTACGCCTTTACCCAGAAAATGGATGTATTTTTCTGTTTAATAAAGAAACACATGTTTGCGTACACGCAACTTACAGCCGTGTGTCGTTGCTTCTTATTTCAATATATTTGCAAGTCGGAAAGATTCGAAATAACTTGTTCAGACTATAACTGAGTAAGTAATTATTGGATACGTAAAGGTTATTTACATATAAGAAGAAGGATGTGAGCAACTCACTGGGCTATTGGCCTGGGTGACAGGAAGACCCCTGTAAGTAATCTGTATTTTGTAAAAAAACTTACACTTTTTTCATTATTACATTATTAAAGAGATATAGGCTAGAGTCGTGTATTAAGCAGCAGCATATAAATCATGCAAGCACATAGCTTGTTGTTATGTGAACATGCAGGTGCCAGAGTGATCCTTTGTATAGGTTCAAGTAAAGGACTACCATGTACACACCGTTATTGTATATTTTAGAATTGATTTACTTCTTCATATTTTTAACATGCAATAAGAACCACCAAATGACATCATTCAACATCTTAAACTAAGTTGACCGGATCACAATTGATGCACAATTAATTTGAGTGATAGATGATGTTACTAACAAACGAACTAACGATGTTATATCTTTTTTCATTTATATGTAGAAATGTATTTATCGAAATTCACCATAATTTAACGGTAAACACTAAAATCGAAAAAAAACAAAAAAAAAAGTCGAAGGTAAATTGTTCTTCGAATGCAGTTATTATCTTCTATTGCGCAAAAAAAACAACGATATAATTGTTCGCTGTAAAATAAACCGCGACGCAGCCGTTTTTAGTTACACTAGTCATAGTTGGTACATTATAAAACATTTCCATAACTGCGGCGTCTGCCATTTTTATACTGTTAATAATAACTGCCTTGTTTACCAACATTAAATTAAATTTATTTACGGTTCAAAAATAAAAAAAATCACCATAATTTTTCGTTTTTTTCTTTTTAGCTCTCTTTTGGTAGTCTATGGTTGATTCCTATAGTCCGTTCGAAAATGTGTCTTTCTTCTGCAAATCTCTTGTAAATCGTGCAGTGAAGGAATTTTTATGTAGAGCTCAGGCTCCAAAAATTACTTTCCAGGGGACCTGCTCTATTGTGCCCTTCACCGTGGTCGAAAGGTGTCGAAGCAACCTGTAATACTTGTGCCGTACATGAAACAGACTGAAAGGGCTGCTGAAGAAGTTGAAAAGTTCAAGGATCGAAATTAGGGCCCAGATGGGGCGCCGTATTTGATTTTATCAGCTTTTTCATTAGCCGAAAAAAAAGTTGAGAACAGCAGCATACTGTAGCACATACGAAATGGGCGGAATTTCATGAGAAATTAGTAACCCGGCTGTGCCATGGATTACATAGAGCGTGTACAATGGTCCTTAACCTCGTGGTCGTCTGGCACAAGCAACACGCAGCCACAATGATCGGCTTTTAACAGGAATTATCACGAATGACGAAAAGTAGTGCTTCTACATCGACATGAGATTTTTGCAGATATACGTACGTACCGAGTTCCGGCAAATTTCCGTCGTACAAAAACTATGATCTAGGTCTGATTAGACCGGAACGGCCCTATACACTACGAAATGCTTTAGAAAAGCAAGACCATCAACAAGGATCTAGGTATGGCCCAGCTGCATCGAGCGCACAAGGCTACAGTAGAAACGACCATAGTAAAGTCATCCCTGCCCACAACCGCATATAGCCGCGCGTGGCGAAGATCACGAAAGCCGTTCTACAGTAGCTTAAGTGGGGGATTAACCTACGCCTACCTGATCTCCAGATCTTGCGTCTGTCATTTCCGATCACTGGCAAGTGAAATTTGTAGCGCGTTTGACTGAACGAGGTATTCAACATCAGACCTGGAAATCGCTGACAAAAAGGAACCCGATACATTCTTTGTTGAAAGGTGCAAAGAAATCGTGGAGTGACGACGAATACAAAATATGCTATTTTTGCTGATTTAACGTTCCATTAACTGTATTAACTAGAAGATATCTCAGGTTTATGTAAGGTAGAAAATCCTGTACTGTATTTGTCTTCTCTAAGCCAATAGCCTACGGACACATTTACATTCAATTAGATCCAACGGTGGCCAGAAATAGGTAGCGAAAGATAATTAGATTTAATCCCGTAAAAATCGAATTATCAATCGATCGTTTTTCCTTAAACGGGCAATATGACAAAAAGACCACCAAAAATCCTTTGTTTGTTCTAACTGAAACAAATTCCATGTCGACAACCTTAGGATCATGGCCGTCACTAGACAGGTAAATTCAGGCGAACATCTTCTAACGACACTTTCTGTGAACGCGAATGCTTTTTATTATTGACGCTTCCATATTTTGACTTTGCCACAAAATTTCCGCGCCCATATCTCTTTTTTTTTTTACATCGACATGATTTTTTCTGCGTCTCACCGTGCTGTCCGCTGCTGCTGTCCATAGTGTTGCACTATAAGTTCGTTTTTCTCTGATTTGAACTTAAGCAGACGACAGAGTGGCGTTGTAAACTAAAAACAATCTAATGATGGTTTTAGGGCGGAGTAACAATCAGCCAAAAGATCTTGTTATTTACAACGTGGTAGTGGTGCAATAGCATAGAAAGAGCTTTGCTGCCAGAACGAACGGTGCAAAATGACGGATCCGTATTGTAAAAATCGGTTCCGTTTCGACTCCGTTTGGCCTCTCGCTGTTGTTCATTAAGAGAAAGACAAGTCATTTTATCGTGTTTTTTTGTCATTTTTCTTTTTCCACTACTCACAACTTCTGTTCAGACGATCTACCAGTTTTTTCCTAACAATAGATAAAATGGCTAGTGAGTTTTCGATCATGAGCAGGGTCCGCGATGACCCTGTGAACCAGAAAAGCCATTCAGTTATAAAAAAAGGAATGTATTACAATGAGAATCTCTTTGGTTGTCTTCAGTATTATATTAATAGGCGCCTACTTTTTTTAATACGCTATTATGGTAAATCAAAAGCGCTTCACGAATTATGCTAACTCGAATATCGATGTTGACATGTAAGATTACTGCATGGTTGAAATCTTTAAATGACAACTTTTTACTAACGGTCGTTTGCCGGTCAGTAGAACCGAATCGTCTTACTTTGTTTCGGCTTTGTTGATCGTTTCATCGTCCGTTGCAGTTGTAGTGTGTTGATCCTTTATGAAAATTGCAAGTTTCGACTAGAGCTTACACTTCGTACAGCTTTAACAACGTAGTCGATATACAGATAGGGACGCAGTAGCAAACGACGGCGACTGACGAAGCAACGGTAGATATAAACATTTCTTTGTCGAGTATCAATGAAGGGCATTGTATCCATTCATCAAGTACTTACTGCATGAACCATCTATTCAATGTGAGCGCGATCGAATGCTTGTCGTCGGACGGAAGACTGATTATAGGTTATTAGACTCTAAAATAGATTGTATGAAGTTCGCTCGCGAGTACAGTTATGTGTTTGCAGCGGGGAGATGTTCAATTGTGTCCTGTTAAGAAGCAAAGTCACTAGGCAGCAGGTGATATGTTTCGTACTATTGGCGGCAGCAGACGTTGGGTATCACTTCCGTCCTAATCATGGCAACCCAGTTACAACAACCGCCATAATAATAATGTTGTTATGAGTGACGTCCTGTTTGAGCTATGTGTGCTAACTGTATATATAGACCACATGATCTAGAACTGCAAATGTATGCAACTCTTCTTGCCCACTAAATATCACGGTGGTTTCTGAGGGATGGCGCCACTGTGGTCAAACCCAAGCAATTGGTACGGTCATCCACGGAAAGAACATGCGTGCACAAAACTCGTTTCATTAGAAGCGATCGGATTCCTTGACTTTAAAAGCCGTAGGGGGCTTTGCGAAGTCTAGTCACAGCTTAACTCACAACTTCATTCTTGAGCACATTTAACGAGAGTTGTCTGGTATTTACAATTGCTCCTACGTTAAGGAGGCAATATCCATCATTGACATGTTCATTCTGTGCCCTCTTCCTTACTCGTTTCTCGTTATCCCGTGCCGGTCTCACAATTGATATTAAAAGTAAACAGCGGGCTTACAGTTAACAAATAGGATTTACATGAGTACTTATCGAAATGGAAATAAATATATAGACGCGAATCGTGTTAAAGGTGTCCATTACTAGTAGGGTAAACCGACATTCTGTCGAAGAACATTTATGCCGCAATGAATAACGATCCCGATGTTGTCATCTTAAAATAATTAATACCTTTAGCATGCGCAAGATGTATATATAAATATCTACAATCACAGCTGCTTCTAGCTCCACTGTTTCTTTTTATTTTCGTACCTCTTCGGGAGGACTGGGCAAATACAAGGAAAGATGAAACTATTTAGTCTTTTCCTTTCCTCACGTTCATTTCATACATTCAGACAACTTTTGGGAAGTTTTTAAGACGCTTAGTATTTTTGCGAAACAACGGCTCTATTAACATAACACATCTGGTGAGTAACATTTCGGTCGGGGGTGCTAACACGCATTTAACGATATGCGATGATTCGGAAATTGGCAGATTTAGGCTTAGATCTAACTGGTAGCAGAAGCCTTAGACAGTACGCCACCATGAAATCAGTTTCTGTAAAAGACATAGCTGATTTATTTTTCGAAATTGATACATTTGCGGTTTACGATGTAGCCCATTACTACTCACAACAACAATGCTACCAATATTGTTTAATTATTTACGAATGATACAACAAGTTGACACTTTCTACCATGAATTATGCAGATGGAGCTTTAGCATCTATAGAAGCCTAAAACAATTCTTCAAAGATTTACAAAGATCCGAAAAACAAGCCCCGGTTTCCGGCAGAAAACATTATGGAAAAAAACGTACGTACGTACTACGTCAACTAGTCCTATACTCGCGATCATAACGTATCGAGGATAATTATAAGAAAATTATTTCGGATCGCGATTATCGGGGTGCGAGCGAACACGACCAGCTCGATTCGCCCGTTTTTGTAGTTATTTCAGACTCGCCACTCAAACGGCCTTTATATGCTCTGCTGGCAAAGCTGTCAGAGATAAAGGAAACTTTGGTTGTAGATTCTCCCTGTACATAAGAGCTACTAGAAAATGAATGTTGGTCATGCAGACGACGCCAATGATTATGGCGATAATCAAAACAAGAGGCGAAAGTTGCTAATCTTCGGGATCGCTATAACGCTAGTGGCGATAGCATTTTGGCTAGATCTGAAAAGTAAATGTTCGTTGTGACATTGAAACGGGCGTAAAAAGAAACAATTTTGTATTGTAGAGAAGAGAAAAAAGAAAATGAAGTTCTGTTTCGAAACCGAGACATCGGCCGTCCTGATGAGGATCAGCAGTCACCGGCGAATGTCATGTCAATAACAACTACAAAGTCCGTTCCCATGACCATATGCGGCTGTTCGTAATTATCTATCTCTCTGTTTATCTAGCAACAATGATAATAATGACAACGACTCAAACCATTTAGGGTCCTTTTTGGAGCTACGGTAAAATTTGCCTTAATAGAGCAACCAGATCGGGCCGTAAAATATCAAATACCATTTTTTTTTCGTTAAATTTCACGCGAAAAACGCTTCAGCTTTTTTTTATCGTCGTCGGTGCTGATGAATACTTCTATGAATAAAAACAGCGTACACGTGAAACAATTTCATGGTATAAATATCTTGGTTAACTCGCAGGTAAAACAACAAGTTCTCTCTCTTTCAGAGAAAAATAGAGGCTGCTCTACAAGGCGAACGGACTGTCGCTATCGCACAGATGACGGCTATTAATATGTGTCTCGTAATAAGCCTTATACGTCGAGACTAAATCGTCACTGTGGCTCTAACCAACCAGTGGTGATAGTAATCGTAATTTCGAAACTCTGCTGTGTGTGTAAGTGAGAGACCGAAAGGAGTGGAGTGATAGCGTAACGCGGTTGATTCGAAATGTGAGAGAAGACGTTACAGTTCGGTGCTCTATTGAGCAGAATTCGCGCAATACACAAGAGGCTTTCGTCATTAATCTATGCGCATTGTAGCTTCCGCTACGTCGATGGCCACCTAATCGATAATCAGGCTTCTCTCTTTTTTTCGATCAGCGGAAACGAATGCGAACTCTCAGTATAGAAGATAATGGACTTCACGCCGGTGTTACCAGAAAGAAAATCCCGGTGGCGCTTTAGTAGGCATCTGTTTACCTGTGGACCCTAATGCAAAATACGTATGTACAATGTACATGTGTATGTTAAATGGAACCAAAAGTAGGAACAGTGTTGGGGGGCGCCAGCGATATTACTCTCAAAAATTGAAACACGAGCTAACGCAAGGTAGTCTGGAGGGCAGAGCGTCTGGCTGAAGGATACACGTGAACCTTCCCCGAACGACCTATAAAATATGTGTAAATAAGAAAGCTACTCTTACATTTGAATTGAATCTAACTGTTTTAATTTAACTCCTTGAAACTGGCGTCGTACGCACGCCGTCGGTGAGGGTCTGAAACTTAGCACGTGCCATTAAATAAAATTTAACCACGTATGTGGAATATTGCTGTGTTCAATGAATGACTATTCTTCGGATCTCAAGCCGTCCATCCCTATCGCTGGGAGTTTAAATTAAACTTTATGCATCGAATGTTCATACGTAAGGGGTTATTGTGGCATATGGTGATATCGTTGACATCTATTATAGCCACATCGTCAGGATATTTTATACTGCTTCGTCGTGGATCCTGTTATTTCGAGATTGGCACATTTACCCTATTCACGTCGTGAATTAATGTGCTCATTGTAGGATACACTGGCAACCGGAAGAATCAGTGCGCACTTCCAATGTTGGACGTCGATTGAGAATAGTGCAGCTTACCGAGTAGTGAAACGTCATGAAAAAGAAGGGGGTTAACCTAACTCTGCGTATGATAGGGGGCGGCAGTAGTATTCATACCTTTGTGTACTTATATATATAAAAGTCGTATTGTGATCGGTTGTTCATAGATAATCGAAAGGCTCATTGGATACAGCATAATGAAGCAATAAATCTTTTATCTACGTTTTCGTGTCCGCATTTTCTCCACAATTCTTACTTTACAATATTTATACCTTAGTGATGCTATAACACTTCAGGGTTTATCGTTGCTTGTCTGAAGCAATGCGTAACAACAGCGCTATGTGTAACGCTCAAAACATTATTCCTGTTTTACTAATACTTAATATGATAGATAAATTTAAGCTTCTACGTACTCTTTAAGCGATACATCGGCTCATGATTAGTAAGTATCGACAAACATTGCTGTTTTTTGTCCAAAGGTGTGTATAAACAAAGTAACTTCTATCTTGTAGAAATCGGTGTTGAATAAGCCGAAGATTATCTATATCTTCGGCTTATTCAACAAGCTGCCGCTGCGCGAAGGGAGCACTGTTTCAAATGCAAAGGTGTTAATGCCCGGTCGATGGTAAATACAAGACCTCGTTAATCACGCCGATTATGGAGGAAACGGCTGTACAGTGCCTCTATGTGTTGGTTTTTGAAACGAATGAACAACATTTAGAGAAAAAAAAGTATCACGGTTGATGCATTCCCTCCTAACCAAATCATACGATACTTACTTAGCCAGCATTTTTTTACTGATATTGCAAAACATCAGTTCTCTGAATGGCTACAGCATTAGAAATGCAGGACTTGCTAAGAGGCAAACGAAAGTTTAAAAAAAAAAAAAGAAAAGAGGAGTGAACCTGAATCTTTTAGACAAGATTCAGGTTCACTCCTCTTGACAGCTGTTCAGCAATCTACCTAAATGTTAACGACAGTAACTAATAAGCGTAATTCTGTCAACCTAACACTGACTTTCGGTCAACCCTCTTAAACTTTTGCTTTTGAAGGTAAGAGGAGTACCTAAAGTGGCGCCAACATTCCGAACATATAACTTTTTAAATTCAGAAGCATAAGGTTGAATACTCTAATTACCCCTACCTTGTAACACCTAATTTCATCGAAAACATACACGGCTTTGTCCAGACTGGTGTATCAAAGTATTGTCCTTGATTCATATTCTATCCTTCTCCTGCTCTCCTGAAATTTTCCCCTTCCAGATGTACCACCTGTAGTTTTGGTTTGGCGTAACGATGCGGTGCAACCAGCAGGAGTTAACGCCTAGTCCCAGTCCTTTAACAGTGGCGTGCATAGGTCAAACAACATAGTGTGACATTGTCTGCGGGTATATAGCAGCATGAGGAAATGATCGTCTTTCGTATATCACGCGTCATCTGAAGAGATCTTTTCCTCTCTCAACAACTGCTTCATTGTTATGACCATACTGATCATGACGCACATTAACAAAGACGTAACTTTTACGACAGCAGCCAGGAATGTGAATTAGATCCACAATGAACGATGATTAGGATAGTTTAAACGAAGACGATGCAAAATTGGCTGGACCAGATGGCATTGAACAGAGATGCACATCGATTTTTTTTTTATATGCACAAATGTTCAGAAGCACATTTTTTCAATATAGATAGGAATCTAACTGGAGTGACTCTTGCTGGACTTATGAGGAGACTTACGAAACGGGATGGCAACTGTATAATTTAAGTTCCATAATAATATTTACTTGTGTCCAGTTCTTTTCCTTATGGCTATCTTCTTTGCCGAAGCTGACCTTTGAACCAGCGTAGCAGCAAGCTTGTTAGCTATGCTTACAATAGAAAGGTACTCAAAAAGTATGCATTAAGCATCCAAACTACGCTGCCCTCGAAATCCACTAGTTAGTTTATCAGATCTCAGGAAAATAGCCATCTGATCTAGCTTTTATTATCCTATTACTAATATTATTCTATTATTACTAACCTTGAGCAAGGGCAACTGTGCTTGGCCTGAACTCAAGTTTTGAATCCGGGCTTAATACAGTGTTCCCTTCGGCTTGTTTCGATACCACAACAAGCGTTGTTCCAACAACTCAGTGGTTTTGCTGAGTTGCCCTATTACCATGCTTTAGCGATTCAATTGTCTAGTTCTTGTCCCATTTAAGATATTCCTGTATCGCACCCGAATCCCCCGGTGACCCTGGAGCAGGTGCTCCGTTTCCTTATTATTCCGCCCACGCTCCCATTGCAATGAAGGCATCATTGTGATGGTGTCAGCCCGTTGATATTCTTCGTTATCTCCAGCCGAAAGTGGCTCTGATTTTCAAAATTCTGTGTGACTATTAGACCGCTTCATCAAATCAGAGGGATGCGAATATATCGATATCTTTGATACATCTTCAGCGCTTGCCGGGAGAAGAGACCACTAACTCGTTTAAAGCTCGAAAAACAAAGTTTGTAACTTTTACATTTCACAAAACTCTAACCACTGTTGATACCTTATTGCTCCGAAAATTAATTCTCCTAAAAAATCGTACACGAAAGTCCACGCGGAAGTTGTTTTTTATCTTCTAGTTGGAAGGCTTTTCTTGCAGAAATATCTACATTGCGTCTTCACTGTATCGTCGCCAAGCTAAGGGTGTGAAAGCCATCGAGATGATTCATAAATACAAACCTGTATTTATAGTATCGGAGAGTATACGCTATACGCGCATGTGCCGTCCGGCGCAGGTTTGGTCATACCTCAAGTGGAAGACTCAGTGTCTTGGGAATTCCTCTCTAAGGTGACTGTATGCCAATTAGGAAACGACGTAAACATGACTTGGATAAGAATGGCGGTCCGCACAAGCCCTTCACCTACCCCAAGCTGCCGAATGAATGTAAATTTCAGTTTTTAATGTTGGACGTATAGACATTCAAACGGTGTAATAATTTCGCGTACTTGTTACGGAGTTCTGAGTTGCCCGCTAGCAGCCCATCTCAGAAACAATAAAACACTAAATGTGATTTCATCTTTACTCTGACATACTTTATCCGACTCTGATCCTTTTGCAGATGTTTATTATTTAGCGAAGAGACAGTAATTAAGTTCTGGTGAGACGATCAAATGTGGCAAATATTAAGAGAAACCTGTTTATCCCTGATATGAAAACAGCAGAGCATTTCAATTATTCAATTGTAAAATTATGCAATTTCAAAACCAACACTTTTTGTGAAGTATTGATAACAAAAATAGCAATCACAAACTAATGATTGTCATATAAACACGCACCCATATATGCCTGTACCAAACGTATTTTGCTAGTACTGCTACTAAAACAAGTGCCTATAATGTCACAGAAGGTCTGAACCTTCTGGTGCGTTTTTCGGAGGAGTCGTTGTTTCTTCTTTTCGGTGTCCTTCCTGCTTCATCTGCCCCTACTTGTGCCTTGGCATTCTCTTAAATAAATATTTTTTGTCACAAACCACAGAACTACACATGTAACACAACGCTCACCAACAGTATCATGAAATACCATTATTTATCATAGCAGCTCTTCATTGGCCATGATTACTATTGTTGTCCTTCGACAATCCTTTCGTCATCTATTGGTGTTTATGCGTGTGCTTCATTCGTCACCTGTTACAGTGATTACTATTAACTACTCCAGCTGCTCGCAGCATATCTTGTCTCGGCCCTGTCGACAGAGAATTTTTCGTACCGTTCCAACAAGACCATTCCATTGTGTAGCGCCTTTGTTTAAGTAGCACCGCCTGGCTAGCAGGACACCTGCAGTCCCGCCGCCGCCATTGTCGCTGGCAAAAAAACAACGGCAGCGAATTGCGCCTGGCTGATGCTACTCTGAAAATTGCAGTAGCAACTAGAGACGCAAGCCAAGGGATCATGTTGTCCAAGAACACCCAGACAGCAGACATAGGAGTTACAGATGATAGAGTGCTTCCATAATGGTCTTTGTTGTCTTCCTGGAGGTCATCCCAACGAAGCCGGTAGACCAGCGAACAAAGGTTCACTTTTTTTTTGCCAATTTATCCTGCTAATGATCACTTCTTCTTTTAACCTCTTTACGTAGTTCGAGGTAATGTTCACTTACAGAAATTAAGAAAATGTTATGGATTACTAGTTTATGTATTCTGCCTCATTGCGGTAAATAGGGTACAAAAATATGGCGCATATACTATTTAACGTCAGTCTATTATATTACAACCTGAAAGTAGTTGCTAACGTCTTCGTTGTTGACCTATAAGGGCAGTCAGGTAGAACAATTTGTAGTATCCATCGAAAAGTGTAACGACTACACTTTTATAGAATCCTAAATATCTGTGTCAATATTTATGACAGGCCATTTTTCTTCATAATCAATTCTGACGGTCTCCTGGTTGGGAGATCTCCTGTTTTTTGAGAAGGGCAAAAAGAGACGAATGTTCATCAGCATCATTCGATCGGCAGATAGATAGTAATAATGGGCGAATATCCATTGAAATGTTGTATCTCGCAGGACCAGTTAAGTTCAGAAAGAACATTGGCTAACCAATATTGTTGTCAGTATTCTGACTATAATAAGCAAGCTTGGAAAGTTAGTAACAGATCGATGAAGATAATTTTTTCTTTGGATCCTATTTACATGTTCTCACCTTCTGGAAGCCCACTGGAGTATCCATTAGCTTTAGATGTTCAATCAAATGGAACAAAAGCTAACGTACTTCGATCCCCGTTATAAATGATCTTATGTAAGATCTTTCTTGCATCATATAACGAATTTATCACCAGAGCGTGTTGAGTAGGCGGTCCTTTTGGGTCGGTCTCACTGTTGTTAAAAGTTACATAGACGTGTATAGGTTAACTCATTTTTCATTTTCTATTAACAGCCATTAAAGCTCCATTGTAGCGTATAGGAAAAATAAAAGCATTTTCGTCTTGTCACTTACAATGGGGCTAGAGAAATGAAAAAATAACGTCATGATTATTTATGGCCACGCTCTTCTTTACTTGATATCCTTAGTGGAAACATCATATGGCCTATATCTGTTGTGTATTGTTCCTATACAATCAAATATTTACATACATACTGAGAAATATCTAACGTGCATCAACAATTGCGGGTGACACTGTTTACGATCCATGTTTGCCATGACTCGCTCACTGCTCGCTACTAATTATTATTGTCGAACTTACTTGTTATTATCATCATGCGTACTAGTTAATTACTTGTAGTAGTACTACTAGCAGTACCTTAGTTAAGACGACCATGATCGCAGCAAAGACTGGCAAATTGGCATCCAGTCCAAGCGAATGGGGTTTATGCCTGTGGGAGGCCATAGATCCGTCCTGTGTTCACACATCTGCTTTAAAATGGTTGCCCTCCTTTTTATCCGAAATAAACCCGATCTGTGCAGTGTAATCTTCCTGCTTTTAGTAAGCACCAAAACACAACACATTATTAACAATCATCGACAAAGTAGTTTCAATGACAGTAGAACATAAGCGCAATTTCGTATTTCTGCTGACGGACCGAATACTGTTCCCCACATAAGGGCAGGGACCGAGAAATGCTTACACGATATACGAAAATGATATATATTACATATGAATGTAACACAAAGAAACTGTGAAAGGAAGATATAAGGCAAGGCGAGACAAAGTCGATTTTTATTTGGCGTTATCGTTGGAAATAATTGGTGCCAAGAGAAAGAAGAAATATACCAGTATGTTCGTTAAGGCTTCTACTATCATGTGACCAAAATGGGCTCTCTGCAATTGATTTATTTTCAAGAGGATAAAGATGCCAGAAACGTCGTTGACCCGCACGCCTCACGAATCGGGTTTATATGGGCTAGAAGTGAGGCTGTACGTAGCACTAATAATTTTATGAAGAAGTCGATTAAGAAAGCTAAAAGGAAGGTGCCGTTCTTTCTGGAGATGTTTGTAATTGTAGCTTGAGAAGACGATGTCCTACAATAATTAACTGCCAAGTTAAGTTTTGATTCCGTTATTTGGTGTAAAGTTTAACTAGCTCAGCTACATCCATAGGTTACATTCTATTCAAGACGTGAAGGCTGGTAAGACACAGTAACAACGTGCAGATCGTTCACTGCACTAAAACCAATATAACTCCAGTGGTCATGCATTATTCTGCTAGAAATAATTATCCACGGTAGAACTATCTAACACGTATGTGATCATACTTACCCGCAACGTAATGCGGTAATAGATCAATAATATTATTTGTCCGACGTACAATACGTTACGTTAATGAAGACAACGATAACAACACGTGATACAATGGGTGAGAGGCTACAATATTTTTGCTTACATTTATATAGATATACACGTACGTATTCCGCTGAGTTGTACCCTGGGCCTATGTAGTTCTCTTAATTCCTCGATGAAATATTGACGGCATCCGGATTCATTTGTGTTCGAAATACAGTGGCCTACTTCATCGTGGCTCATGTAGCCTTTTCGGTAATCCTGTGATATAGATCAACTTTTCTTAAACGTAACTGTAGCGTTTAGTTCGCCAGTTATTTCGCCAAACAGGCTTCGAAACAGGCAAAGGCGAAAAAAACATGTACCAGTCATATATATATATATATATATACATGGGTATACGTACACACATGCATAGTTCGGACAAAATTTAATGAACGGTTTTTTTTTATCTGGACATGCATTGATTTGTTGTTTCTTTTAACGCAATAGAGCTGCCTCCTTCTAAGATGAGACAGCTAACTAGTCATGGCGGACGACTGTGCGCCATTTTGGGAATTATCACCTATTATCCGATATATTCACGCGGGTCCAACACTTCTTGTGTTCGAAATCGACGGTTTGCATTATAGCTAGTTTACTACATGCGGCAAAGAAGATCTTCAGCAGAACATACTTGATGGAGTTAAGAGCTTGGAAAGTCATTTTTTGATTTTTTATGAAAACTTTTTTTGGGAGCAAAATACGAATTAGCTCGTAGATAATCTTCACACATCAGTCTTTAGGCTTCCTGCGTTCCTTTTTGCACCACCTTTTGTATTTGTCAACGGCAATCAAATTTTTGCATTTTTGAGACACTTGGCCTACCATTGCCCTAAGGCTCAATTCCGCTAGAATTTTTTGCACACGGCGTACTAACGCATTAACGAGCTTATATATGTATGTATATGTCTATATACCATACGTATGTACGCATGTATGCGTACCATATGTAGCTACCACTACTGTACAGTTAAGTTATACTAAGATAAGTAAGTAAGTAAGATAAGTTATTTGCGGGTTAAGGAAGAAAAATTTTGAAAATTACTAGTAAGTAGTTTGGTTGAAGCTATAATTGCAGTGAATTATGGTTGACCATAGAAACAACACTTGTAGCCTGTGTGAAGTATTTCCCTGAAATTTCTTTCTGTTCCAGATTTATATGCCCTTGTCAATCTATCATCAATATGGAACAATCGCTGACAAATGTTTACTGATTCGCTGTTTGTTGCGTACTCAGATTGACGTAAGAAGTATAACACCATATGAAATAATCGCCATTCAATGGCGTTCAACCTAATCATTTGCACAGGGTTCAATGACAGGTCCAAAAGGTGCGTGGTTGTTGAACAGTCAATTTATATTTATGCAATTATTATTTCAGCAGTGTTTACTGCCGTAAAGCATGTATCCGGCCTTGACGTTAAGCAATGCATAGTAGAGTATAAAGCGACCTTGAAAAATAATCTTACAACCTTTGCACAAAATCGTGTTAGCGATAAATAAGAATGTTTTTTAAAGATAGGGAGGGCATATTTTTTGAGCACTACACATATCGTTATTATCCTGTAAAGTAATTAAAGCGGAAAGGCCATTTATTGAACGAAGACAAGTGCCTAAAATCCATAAAAACGAATAATAGTAAATCTAAAAAAAGCTGTTTTTCATGTTTATAATCACACAGTGACAACGTATTGTCGCCCTAATACGTTTTCGAGCTTTGCTTAGTACTATATACAGATCAGGGATCTGATGTGCCTGTGTATCGCGCATAAAAACCTCACAAGAGCCACTACCTAGCTTATCTGATCAAGCAACCAGGATTTGTCAGTACATTAAAACGAAAACTGAGCAATAATATGACGACCGTAAGCTTTGGTCCGATACCTTAGCTTAGATTATGGGAGCAAACTCGACCAGCCTCAAACGCTTCGACAAATAGCATCCTGAAAACAAAAATCTCAAAAGGAAGTCCAGATCCTAAGGTGTAGAACCCTGTAAGAAGGGAGCGGAAGTCCAGTTGGCTTTCTGGGCTCTTAACATTTACTTAAACGTTGTTCCAAAATTGACCGCTATCGATTATTTATTGCGTAGTAAAATATCTACGTACCTCGTTGCCTATATCTTTCACGCATGTCTAACACGGTATTTGGTAGCTTTTCCGGCCTAAACCTTTGATACTTTACTGTGAAAATTGAGAGTAGGACCTTGCTTAGCCATTTATTTGCGGACTTCGTTTTCTTACCTCTATAACTAACGGTTTTATCATGTGCTCATCAGACCGTTACGGCTATTCGGCACAGCGATCTACTTCCGTCGTATAATCGCACCATTGGCTTTCTCACTGCTTAGTCGCTCCTTTCGAAAGTGAGGCCGGCTTTTTTATGCCAACTAAATAAAGTGCTAAAAAAAAGGTTAGTCCGACAATAAGATCGTCGATAATTTCATGCGACATTTTTTTTGCGCATACACTGAGGCAGGTTTCGACGTCTTTACTCCACTTCATGATGCGTAAGTTCTTGCCAAACTCATCTCGCTTCAAGAAATACTCACATATTTCGAACAGAAAGAAATATTCACAAAATAGAAGTGTATCATTGAAAAAATATAACATTAATATTCTTGGTAACGTGAGTTTAATTCTTATTGACGGGATCTTGTGCAACAAAAGCGCGGTGTACGGATATTTTTCAGGTCGCTGTACATAATCATTGCTGGAACGCTTTCGATCGCTACGTCTATAGAAATGCGAATAATTTAGCCGACAATACAAAAGGTACCTTATAGTTATTTTGTCTAACAGTTCTGTCCTGAGCTGTAAAAAGAAAGGTTGTGGATAGCCTTAATTACGCTATAATGCGTTCTAGTGACATAAAGTGACATTTTTGCTTGGCGATGCTTGAGATGGGCGTGGCAGAGTCAGCGGTTTGTTAGAATGCGACAATGCTGCATTTGTATGTCCCTATGAATTTCTCATAGAGAACAAGCATCATTTCACACAGAAATTGCACCAAAATATCTTTATCTTGCTCGGGCAAGGGTTTGTCGCTGTGGACATTTTACGTATCTGTAGGGCTTTACTACGCAAGATAGCATATAGGGAAAAGCATGGCGGCTGATGTTCGCATCTCAGTATTTTGTGTGTGCGACTGTAGATGGCGCTGCTGTTTTTGCTACTGCTCGATAGCGAATGGAGTGGCCTCTGTAGCTTTATTTGGGGCCCTTAAGAGTTTTCCACGTCGCGTCTTTTACTGCGCTTTTAGCCACTGTTTCTTCGAACAGCATCAAAAGCAGCAGCAGCAGCAGCAACAACAACAGGGAATAAAAAAAATCAGTGGCCGTTTTTGCACGAACATGCGGTTTGTGATTATCAGCGGACATCAGGAAAAACCAGTTCGAGCCCTTTCACCCCCCACCCCCAGCATCCCCTATAGCAAGCTTCCCTGATGCACGTTCCTGTTGCGCGGGCTTTGATTAGCAGCTCTTTTTCGTAGCTAATCATGAATTTTGCTACTAAATAGGAAGCACACATTGGGTAGGAATATTAATACCGTCTAATACTGCCAATTTACTTTAATCTCAATTTTACCTTGCTAGTTTTAAGGCTGGTCCATTTTAAGCTGTATCGTTGTCAACAAGCAACAACGAACAGACGAAAATGGCTATAATGTAAGTATCAGTGAAGAGAACCTACTTTGTCTGTAATTCGGACGTTGCTGGAGTTCGTGCTATCGGCATGCTTCCCCTACGAGTACAAATACAAAATAGGATGACACTCGTGTGTAACTGCTTACCTCGTAGCGTCTCGGTATCACCAAGTTGTGCACTGGACAGTTAACTTAGATTGAGAATGCTGTTACTGTGGTCAAATTTCAGTCGGCATTGTGTCGTCGAACGAGTCTGTCTGCATGCTTTCCAGATACGCGTACGTTCATTCATACACAGTATAATCTAAACACAGCTTATCATGCAATATATATATATATATATATCGTTAAGCGCATTTGTATATGCAACAAAGTTACGTAACACTAATGGTAGTTTAGTGCGGACAATGCTGACAAGCGCCTTGGTGTTTATTAAGCGGTGATTCAAATGGAAAAACTGAATAAAAAACACTGTTACTCATACATGACCTACCAACAAAATTAACGCTACATTCTACGGGAAAAAAATACTTTTTCCTCCCGGAGCAAGAAAAAGGTATTTGCCCAATCGAGCCCATTGTCCGCAAAAACCTTCCTAAAAAGGAATTCTAGCGACTCAAAAAAAGCTCAATGCGTGCCCTCTAAGGAATCGTTTTGTATCAAGGAAATCTGCAAACTTCCGCAGGCTGCTAGTAGTATAGGTAGATATATGCGATGCCGATTCACATAGCCACTAACATGGGCGCTAGATGAAATTGGCGAACACGCGGAACACGAAAAGGACGTCTGGTCGTCGTCTAAATAGTATCAGCAACAGCAACACTGACAATGTTTTCAAACACGTCGACGCCTCTGAAGGAAGCTCATTTTACGTGGACGAAAGGCGGTAACAGGGCTGGGTAGAGATGAACAGAATGAACAATTAGAAAATAGTGCTACAATGAGCTGTTAGTTCAAGCATAAAATGCGTATCAGTCACAACCTAGTCATAATAGTAATAATAATATAACCACAAATACTTACACTTCAATCAATATATACTATACAAACGAGGAGGTGATAGAAGACAAAGATGCTGCCTCATCAGTGTCATCAGTGATGAATATGAGGATCGCTAGCTACGCAGTAGAATCACGAGGGATAGACACAGATCTGGGATTATGACGACAATTTGAATTGAGGATGGGAATCTGATTTTGTGAAAGAATTTCCCATGATTGTGATACTCGGAGCCTGCGGTGATGGCAACAGCAGCCGGAGCAAGTATGCACTTCAACATAGACATGGCATGTGGGCACGTACGGCAACAATTGTTGCCTTACTCGTCATTAATGCTAAGCGTTATATCGACGCACATCTCTCCGTACCCACACGTACCGTGTACTCACGTTCTCTCGACGTAATGATACTAGTCGAGCTTTTTTTTCGATTCATTCAATCTGTATCTAGCTAATACGAATAGAACTTGGTCAATATGAACACTGATCAGTTTAAGAGATGAGCGAATCGGGATCAGCCCTTAGATTAGAATTCGTGCTATATAGCCACGCCTATCGGGCTATAGTACGCGCTACAACTGGCAAAACCATGTCCAACTATTGCGCGGCTTTGTAGTGAGCCCTAAACATTTCGTTTAACGTGCTGATGACACAGATACTACGAAATCTGTCTTTTATTCATTTAATTTTGGCCTTTATAGTAGTGAGTTTAAAGACATAACCACAAAGAACATACACATGTTTCTGTTCTTGCGTGTTTGACACATAAGTGGTAATGACTGGCAGTACAACTACGTGTTATGAGAGGAGCCTTTGAATAGGGATAATTGATACTTGTGTCACTGCCAAAGTGACGAGGCGCCTGGACTTAAAATAAACAATATTGGTAAAGTTTTGTCGATAAAAAGAAATTATACAAAAAAAAAAAAAAAAAAAAAGAAAAAAAAAACCTCTGTTGTTGTTTCTTTTTTCTCAACACAGACCGGTCATCATGACCACTATAATTTCCTGAGCGTACATCTGCGGTCGTACTTTAAATGGTTCGTGTTCCCATCATATGATCCTTTCGGATACGTTAGCGAAGGATTTTAAACGCCCAAAAAGCCGACGGATACACTCAATGCATCTGCCTCTTTCGCAAAAAATGATAAATACAACAACAACAACAATAGCCGATGATTTCCTGGCGCATGACTTTAGATCTGCGTAGATTTGAACATGAGGGTGATCAACGACCGTTTATTCTAACAAGGGTAACAAAGAAGACGCTAGGGGGTTTGTGTTAAGTCTACTATATATGTACAATATGTGTGCATACTTGGGCTGAATGTGGAGCCTAAAAAGGTTGATATTGGGAGAAAGGGACGCATATCAGAAAAATACCAGTGCATGAAACAAGCCTAACCGTTTTGATGCGTTACATATAGTTGTAATGTTCAATCTAAGACTGGAGTGAATGTCTTGCATTCTGTCATTTTTGTCGCCTAGGTGGCGCGCAGTCAGCAAACAACCCAGATGAGTAGGTGACAGCAATATTGTCCCTATTGTCGAGCGTTCTATTATATTGAAACTGTATTCAATGGCTACCCGTAGATTTTCTCATCAATGGGGCAACAGTAGCAACAATTCTCTCTGATGGCCTTCCCATCGCAATGAGCAGCGTTGGTTGAAAGCAGCTGCTTGAAAGGTCTACAATAGGGCTCATTGAAGGCTCATAGCCTGAATATCCTCTGGAACTTAAACAAGGAGGAAACACTTTTTGCCCTGTTTGAGGTCTGTAACAAGAAGACAGGTAACAGTACCTACTGCTCGCGTATACATAGTTTATTTATGTGTATTACTATAGTGATTTGCTTTCTCCAAACGCGCGTCTCCGCTTAAAAATAACATATAGAGAATATTTTCACCAAATATTCGCCAACGTTAGAGCAGTATAGCATAACAATTGATTCCAATCATCTCTTCATTAGGTTATTTCGAACATCGTTATCTTCACACTGGATTTAAGATGGGAGTTGAACGTTTGTGTTTCCCAGAATATTTGGGTAAAACCAAATATTCACCCGAAGCTTATGGAAATGGTCACCGAACTTCTAAATAATGAAGTACAGATAAAAGCATCTCCGCATGGTTAAGTCGAGTTCGTAAGATTCGCACGCAAGCAATTCATTAATACATTTATACACTAAATAATAAAATTCTGTTAAAGCTTAATTTGAATTTATTTCACCAGGTGTCCTCGTTCCTCAAACGGATCAGCCAAACAGTTGAGCAGACGAACTTGGCCGAGCTGTTACTATCCGAACGACAACCACAACTGCAATAGTGCTGTTGCCGTGTGACGAGTCGCCTCGACGGTTTCTCTCTGACAATAGCATAAAAATCAGAATAATACTAATCAATGCGCACCCGACGAAAGGAATGGAGTCAAGTTATAGCAGCAGCAGCAGTAGTAGTGGTCGCGTGGGCGTCGGCGTGGCCTCTGTCCTGAGTCCCGGTTCATTCGAGGCCGATTAAAGGCCACTTTCCAGCAGCAAATGCGAGGCCATTGGAGGTCTGTT